CTCAGGTGGGATTATTGGCAAAAATACCTCACATGGCCTCTCTGTCTGGAGAAAGCTGAGCACCTGAAGTCACTGAGGCTGAGTGAGAAGCTGCTAAGTAGGCTAGAAGATTTGGGTTGGGCTCCTGGCAGCTCTGCTTCCTCTGTTTATTCATACTCAGCCCTCTTGTCCTCTCCTGTGAAAGGGGGATGACACCTCTGCCCACAGGGTCACTGGGGGGGTAGATGTAGGAAGAGTTATTATGTGAAAGAACCTTGCAAAGTGGGAAGCCTTTGATGCCCGGTGGTGGTGGTGTGCTTACATGCTTTTCAGGACTAGAAGTGAAGGCAGCTCCAAGGAGAGAAGGGTTCCCTGTCCACCTTTGCCACCCACTGGCTGCATCCTGATTCTGCCAATGGAAGGAGATACACTTTTTTCCCATGGCTTTGTCAAATGGGCTGATTTTCTCTCTCTTTCTCTGTCTCTCTTTTTAATTTAAATAAACATTTATTTAGTACATAGTGGATATTTGTTATTCGTTTTGGCACAACCTCTGGAATCTTCCACATTTGAGGACTTGCCAATCAGAGTGGCAGGGTGGCCAGTGTCAGAGCCCCACACTGGTGTTGGGGTCAGAGCTGCTGCTGTTGGTCTCTCGCTGCTTTCCCACCCCACAAACAGCCCAGGAAATCCGACTCAGGACAGATTGTGGAGACTTCTTGGCCAGCGCAGTCCAGAAGCACATTCTCTGTGGGTCTCATTTATCATTCCACATCTTGTGTCTGCAGCACCCAGGGGTGTTTGCTCCAGGAGCATCTGGGAGTGCTGGCTGCTCTAGTAAGAGGCTCTGCCTTTTCCTGCACCTGAATGTTGCCACGTGACTGCCCATATCACAGGCAGATGGCGAGCTCCCTTCTCTGCGGGGTCAGGGAAGAGCGAGTGAAGATAACCATGCTGCTGATCACTTATTTATGCCTCGTGTTGAAGGTAAATCAAAGAGAAGGCTGCATCCTAGAGATGTGTCCTCCAAGACTGCCCAGACTCCAGGAGGTCACACTGGATGTTTGCAGCCAGTATCAACAGAAAGTTGATTTTTCTTAGAAAATAATTTCTGGTCCACACTTCTTTTATTGTCAGAATATAAAATCAAATTGGCTTTCTGGAGGATTGCTGTAAAGCCCAGCTGATACCTAGTGCCAGCCTGAAAGGCAGCATGAAAAGACAAAATTTTGGGATGTTTAATAAACTCCGCCTTCCATTATCATTATGCTGTTGCCATAGAGCCTGGCCTTGTTATCAAGATACATTCCACAGAGGTTAGAAAGTTTCCAGATTTTTTTTTTCCAACCCAGCCTCCCTGGTGCTCATGTAGACATGTATATACTGACTGGTTTGCTGATCCCAATAAGGCCACATAATTAGAAGAAAAGCCTCTAAGTCAGGAGGATTTAACAACTGCCAGATAGTTACATCCATCATCCAGAACGTTCCCTGAAAATCAGCATCCCTGAGGGGAACTTCGTGTCAAGCGAATACCTTGTTCTAAGAATAGAGTGTCTTTGAAGAAGCTTCAAGATGTTTTCTCATAATTGTGAAGTGACGTCTGTCCTTAAACACTCCACCCTGTCTTTTCCTTCACTCCTCTTGGTTGTCCTTTGGTGCTTTTTGGGGTAGTCAGAGGCTCTTGTGAAGGAGGTTCTCTGGGCACAAACTCTGTTCCCTTCTGATTAGAAACGAGGCTGCCTGCAAAGGCGGTGGCGAGTGTGGGCAGCGGTGGGGCTGGCATCCTGGCGGCCCCCGTGAGCCCCTCCTGCAGTCTGTTCACCTGGCCCCACACCGTGCCCAGAAGAGCCTTCCCCACGGCTGCCCTGTAGTCCCTGCCAGAGAAGGTGCCGGAGTCGTGGCTGTTCCCACTAAGTCCCACGTGGATGCAGGAAGAGGAGAGTGGATGTCGTCAGGAAGGTGGCGTGGCTTCGGGGCCCTTCCTCTGCCCTTTTCCATGCAGGATGCCTAAAAGAGTTTGAAGGCAAAGTCCCTGCCATCTGGCTCTCTGCCTTCTAGGGAAACGCACGGAGGCGGAGCAGGTGGAAAGAATATTGTACTACCTGATGATACACATTCAAAACGTGTGTGTGTCTGCTTCTGGTTATGCAATTAATACATCTCCGTTGGAGAAAGCACAGAAAAGTTCAAAATCCTGTGACTTCTCTCTCAGAAATAGCCTGCTGTAGCCTTCTGGATGCATTTCATTCTGGTCTGTGTGACACACGGACGTTGTGAGCCATAGCCGGGAATCACGCCGGGCAGTTATTACACAGAGACCAGAGCTTCTTTCCTAGGCTGTTAAAAATTTACCAGAAACACTCATTTGGGGGGATGATACATTTCTGTTTAAATTATTAATTGGTAGTTCATTAATTTATTTCAAAGCTCAAATGATATAAAAGGGTGTTCAGCAACCAGGCCCGCTCCTGGCGCTGTCTCCACCACGGGTGTCCCTTTCGTTGGCATCTTGAATTTCTCTCCTACAGCTTCTTAATGCAAAAACAAGCAAATACAACTGGATAGTCTTAATTTTCCATTTTTGTACCCAAGGTAGAGTACTAGACCTACTGTGTCCATACACTGCTTCTGGTTTTACTTAATGATCTATCTTGGGGAGCTTTTCCTGATAGCACATAGAAAGCTATCTCATTCTTCAAAAGCACATTTAAATTTTTTTAAGCAATTGAAAGATACATTATTTTTGTCTTACAGAGAGATAGAAAATGAAAAATAAATGTCTTTCCCCCAATCCCACTCCTAATCTTTTATTAATGATCACCACTATGACTTTTATTACATATTTTCCCAGAATTTTTAGACTTGAGCCCTCATGAATGTGCATGGACACCCCCCCCCATGCAAAACCTATTTAAAAAAATGTTTTTGCCTTGCTGTCTCATATGGACACACCATAATTTCTTGAGGCATACTCTATAGTTAGACCTTTTTTAGTTTGTAGTTTTTTTCCCCCCACTTCTCTAAGGAATGGAAAGAGGAACAGTTTATGATGTAAATCTTGGTTGGTGTCTTCCATTGTTTCCTGTAGATACATTTTGGCAGTGGACTCACAGGGCACGGATGTGGATGTTTTTAGGGGCCTGGGTCCATGCAGCCTCATGGCTTCCTAATATACCAACTCTCCTCCCAGCTACTCATGGGAAAGTGGCAGCCACCATAGCAGCAGAGTGACACCAACCCACAGCCCAGCAAGTTCCTGAACCAGTGAGGCTTTAGGTCCTAGGAAACTGAAGTTCTTCCAAGTGGCAAGGCAGGTTTCTCCTTACTGGGTTTGAAGGAGTCTCTCCATAGCGCCTTTTTAGGATCATCTGCTGCCTGGAGCCAGGTTTGATCACTTAGCTCTGGACGTCTATGATGGACTCAGTGTGGGTCCTTCTCCCTCTGGACTGCCATGCATGGGGTGAGAGGCACCACTTGGGTTGGCAGGGCAGGTTCTGTGTCTAGGGTCAAGGATAATAGAACACATTGCTTTTAGTTTTCAATAATTGTCATATTATTGTCATGGTACACTGTCAGCTATGGAGCTCTTTCTACATGCCAGGCACTGTTCTGCATACTATATGGGTATTAACTCATTTTATCTTCTAGTATACTCATTTTACAGATGACAACAGTGTGGCGCAGAGAAGTGATTTGCTCATGGCCACACAGGAAGAGTAGGGCTGGGATTTGATCCTGAGCTGCATGGACCCAGAGCCTAGGCTTCATAACCCCTGCATTCTGTCCCCAAAGCCGGAACCCACTGTTTCTTTAAGGAGAGCCTTCTAGTGTCTTCTGACCCTCTGTAGAGGCAGAACTTCTTGAAGTCTCACCTTCTTTGTTCACCTGTTAGCTGGCTTTTCTTCTGTTTGCTGAGGGTTGTAGCAGAAAAGCCTTTGAAGTTGGACAGATCTGCTTCCTAGATGTGCGCTTCGGCAAGTTACACAACCTCTCTGAGACTCAGTGTCCCCATTTATGAAGTGAGGAAAATAATACCTCCCTTGGGGTCATTATGAAGGGCATAGATGTGAAGGCTCTGATAGGCGAAAGGTGTGAAATCTGTGTTCTCTCTTTCTCCATCACTGTTCCACGCCCTTCTCTGTTCCACTGGGTTCTTCTTAATCCTGATCTACGTTGTTAAAATTCCAGCCAATTCAGTTTCTACCAGATCAAAAAAGAAAGCTCATTCCCTGGGTATGAGAATAATATCAACATTTATTGAGCATCCACCACTGCTGGGCATTTTGCTATCTGCTTTACATAATAATTGCAAATCCTTGCAACAGCCCTGAAAATCGATTTCCCTATCTGAGGGGGAGCCGGGGGTGGGGGACTTATCGGAGGTCACATGCGCCGTGGAGCACCTGCTGGCCCTCAACTCACCTCCACAGGGTGCAAGGCCCCTAAGCAGAGCTGGGGAGGGACCATCGTGCCGAGCAGTTAGTTTCTCTCCCCTAATCATCTTCTCTTGTACCCCTTCTGAATCAGAAGGATAAGTCACATTCTGCTGCCTAAAATTGCTCATACGTTATGAGGGGGAGAGGATGGAATCATTTTGCAGCTAGACATTGGCCTTTTGTGCCTATTTATGGGGTGTGTCTGTGTGTGTGATGTTCCTCACAGTGACAATGGATATTTTTTCCGTTGTACATCTGATATCTGGTGTCTGAGATCCTAATTAGGCCTTTATAGCTCCCAAATTACATGCTTTTACATGCCTGTGATTATCTCAATAGGATTAACAGTTCTTTTTCTGTAAAGATAATTGAGATCTCTCGTGGTGGCAGCATGTTTTTATTACTGCAGCATCATCTGCAACCATCCCCCCACAAAACCTCTTATTGTTTTCTAGTAACGGCTTTTCACCTTGTCCTTATCAGGAAATGTTCAGGGATCGTTGAGAGGCAGAATTCTTCCGTGATTATGCAAACCTTGGTAACCATCATGCGTTTTTTTCTCCCCTCTTCTCCTGATGGTAGGTGCCTGGAGATTTGAGTCAAACATCCGAAGACCAGAGTTTGTCGGATTTTGAAATGTAAGTCCATGGTGTTTGCTCATGAGGGTCCTTTAGAAATAGGGCTCTGTTGGCTTCTGTCCCGGAAGACTGGAGGGGGATACAGAAACCGTTGTTGAAATCTACACAGGGTGGACTTGGTTATTGTAAAGGTGGGGAGTTGTCCTCCTGCAGCCCAAGCCTGGCCTTCAGATGTATGTTATGTCCCCTTTGGGTATTCAAAAACATTTTTTTGGCTGACATTTAAAAGTTGAAAGAAACAATATAAAAATTTCAATTTCTTTTTCTTTGTTTTTTCAAATTAGACACTCACCAATGTAAGGCCACAGTCAGCTGGAGCTGAGCAGCAGCTGGCCCCGCACACAGGGCATGTGCTCTTTGGGTTACCGCAGTCCCCACCCGTCCCTAGTGCCCGACTCTGGCACACGTCACTCATTTGTTATCTGTGGTCGCTGGGTTATTGGGACAACAGTAGTCAGTACGCTGGCCTGGGTTTTGATGGGGTTAGATTCTATCGGTGCCTCTGCTGCTAACCCCAAAGGAAGTTAGCTGGTCATCAGGCTCTTCTTATTCTGGGTGCCTTAGTTTTTGGACCAGCGGTCCCTGCAGGCTGGCAAAGAAAGTGGGGTAAGTGCTGGGTTAAAGGCAGGCAGGGCCTCCGTCTCTCATCCAGCCGTGGCGAGTGGAAGAAGGTTCAGCCTCCCTGGGAGAAGGGCTCATCCAGGAGGAGCCGCTTCCGGAGCGGGAGGGCGGGGCTGGCACTGGAGAGAGCGTGTTTCTGGAGCCAGGCCCCCCGTGCGAGAATCTCAGGCACCAGTCAAGGCACCTAACCCCACTGGGCCCGGGTTTCCTCACTCCTGGGCTCGTGGGCAGCGTGAGGACAGCGCAAGGTGGCTGCTAGGGTGGCAGCATGGTGGGTAGCAATGGTGGGGAGAAACTGGGGGGAGAGGTGAGATCCGCGGAGGGGAAGCCAGAGACTAGTCAGTGGCGAGGCGGGAGGGACGCACTGTTAAACCACGAGTTCGCCAAGCACCTGTTATGGGCAGGTGTCCTGCCAGGTTCTCCATGGAGGGAATGGATGAGCCACAGCCCCTGCCCTTAAGCACCTCCGCCTGGTCCAGGACATGTCCTTTCTCCCCAGATACTCAGACCCTGCTCCTGCCAGTTTGCCCATCCACACTGAAGCCACAGGGAAGTGATAGCACCAGTGCCCTCTCTCAAGACAGAGTCCAGACTCCTTCATGGAGCTTACAAGGAAGGCCCTCGCTGACCTCTAGCTTCAGCCCCAGCCCGGCCTCTCCCCTCCCTGCACACCAGCCACCCCGGCCTGTTCCACTCCCCTGACTGCTTGATCTTCCCCTCAGGACTGTTATTTTACTTACTCAGTCCCCCCCCCCAGCACCCCTCTATGCTAGGTAGTCTACTGACTCACTCAGTCCTCATGTCAGCCACCCCACAGCTGGCAGAGGATTCAGACCCAGGCAGTCCTGATCCTGACTCTGTGCTTTCCACACGTTAGTTCCCCTGCCTGGAACACCTTCCCCATCCTCCACCTCCCCTCCCCAACTGGGCCAACTTTCGGTATTCCTCAGAGCCTGGCCCAAATATTGCCTCCTCCAGGAGTCCTTCTCTGATGCCCCGGACCAACGCAGGCCTGCCTGGCATTCACTTTCCTTAGATCTAGCTTTCCTTGGTGGCACTTAAAACAATGGTCGTTAAAGAATTTCTGTGAAACAACCGTGAGCATACGTGTACCCAACAACAAAGCCCTGAAACACCCAATGTGAAAATTGATAGCAATGAGAAAAGTAAACAATTCTACAGTAGGAGTTGGAGACTTCACCCCACTTTCATAAATGGGTAGATTAACTAGACTGAGCAATAAGGAAATAGAATACTTGAACAATACAATAAACCCATTAGATGTAACAAACATATATAGAACATTCCAACCAAGTAGCAGCAGAATACACATTTTTAAGTACACATGAAACACATCCAGTGTAGATGGTGTGTTAGACCACAAAACAAGTCTCAATAAATTTTTAAAGTTGAAATCATACAAAGTATGTTTCTCAACCATAGTGAAGTAATTTTTATGGAGAAGTGTCTATCTCCCCTGTTAAACTACATACTCCATGAAGGGGCTGTGTCTACTTCCTTTATTGTTCTACCTCTAGTACTAGACTATCGTATGGCATGTGGTAGGTTCTCAGGAAATACTTGTTTAATGAATGAATGTGTGAACAAATGAACTGACATCTGGGAGGGAAATGGCTATATAAACCATCAAGTTTTTTTAATTTCTATTTTTAGAGAAAGGGTCTCGCCCTGTTGCCTAGACTGGAATGCAGTGACATGATCATAGCTCACTGCAGCCTCGAACTCTTAGGCTCCAGTGATCCTCCTGTCTCAGCCTCCTAAGGTGCTAGGACTACAGGTGCATGCCAACACAGCCAGCTAGATTTTAAAAAATTTTTTGGATCTTACTCTGTTGCTCAGGCTGGTATCAAACTCCTGGCCTCAATGGATCCTCCCACCTCAGCCTACCCCAAAGTGCTAGGATTACAGGTGTGAGCCACCACACCTGGCCATAAACAGTCAATTTTAGTACAGGGTGGTAAATATACTAAAAGGGAGAAATGCCTCCCTCAGCTGCAGGTAAACTCATGGTAGCCCTGGGTGGTTGTCTGGTCCTCACCAATCCAGGAAAGTTAGTAAAAAAGAGTGTTGGATATACTTTTGTCCTCCCCCTGCCCTGGTGACAAAGGGAGGTGCTGTTGGCACTAGCACAGCTCCAGGGACCTTTATAGGAGGAATGTCATTGGATACACAGACCAGTTTGGTGGCTCAGAATTGCAGTTTGTCCTTTGCACCCTGGGGAAGTGATCGATAGGGCTTATTTTACCTCTTGAAGGAGGTCACCACCTCAGCTCAGAACGTAGAAGGAATGCTGCTTCTAGAGAGAACCATTACCTGAGGGTTATTGCCATTACGAAAATAAAATGCTCTTTACTCTAGAGGTTGTGAGAACATTGAGTCATGGAATCTTCCATCGTCAGCGTCTTAAATTATGTTCCAAGCGCAGGAAGCTGGCTAATTTTTATGAGCTGCTCTTTAGAAAGAAGGAGAGCTCTGGAACAACTCTAAGTAGAGGCAAAGGCTAGGGCCTTCCAGAATTGCAGAGCACTGATGTGATAACTATTCAGGTTGCTCTTGGAGTTTCAGCAACAGTCAACTGACTAGCTCTGTGATTTGAATCCAGCCGGGTGGGGATGTGACGAGGGTCTGTGTGTGTACCTGGTGCCTCAGAGTTAAGTTTTGAGTCATCACAATCACATGAGCCAAAACAGTCATATAACTAGAATAACCCTTTAAAGTACTTTAAATAAATAGTCCATATAAGCATTAAATGAGTTAATATAGATAAAAGCACGCAGCCGATACATTATAGATAGGCACTAAATTATGTTGTATTTGAATTTAAATCTCACTTTATTAGATCCACGCACACAGTGTTTCTGGACAGTTTGACAGAGTGTTATTTGTGTGTGGCATCCTAGTTTTCCAACTTGTCATTTTCTGTTGCCTTTCCCTCCTCCCACCCCAGACAGCTGCCGTTCTCACAGCCAGGAGTGTTGCCCTCCTGAGCTCTTTTGGGTCTGATCTTAAAGTGGGGGTCGTGGTCTAAAGCCAGCACAGTGAGGAGGCAGCATGACTGTGCTGGGTGCTCCAGAAACTCTGTGAGTGTCACTTCGCCTGGCCCCCCATCATAGCTTCCTTGTGCTTCTAGTTAGCAACCCCTTTCCCAGATGTGGAGACTGAGGTTCAGGTAAATTATAGGCCAGTGTCACTCAATAAGAAGAACTGAAGGGCGGCTCTTTCTCATCCAGAGTACGAGTTGCATGTGCATGTGTGTGTGTGTTCATACGCAGGCATGAGAGATAAGAGGTGTGTGTATAGATATATATGGACTGAGTGATGAGACTTGTCCTTTAGCGTACTGTCAGCTGTGCTATATGTTGTCATAAATTGCTTGTGTATAGTAGCTATTAGAGGAAAGAACTGTTTTTGGTTCTTGTTTTTTTCTTCATAAGTTAAAATGACCAATTCTGATTTCTTTCTGTTGTCAGATCAAACCGGGCGCTCATCAACGTCTGGATCCCCTCGGTGTTTCTCCGGGGCAAAGCGGCGAATGCGTTCCACGTGTATCAGGTAAGTGCCTGGTCTTCAGGCGGACGTCACAGCTGGGGCGGAAGGACCCAGTCGTCGTGCCGTGGTGCTTTGCCGGTGGTGGTGGAGCATGGTAGTTGGGAGGCCGTGGCCCTCAAGGCCGGCGTGTCGACTGCCCAGAGTCTCTGACCACGCAGCCTGTGGTCCTCGTTCAGACGGACAGGAGGCGTAGGCTGGGGCCGCCTCGTGCCGGTGTGGCCACAGCAGGATCTCAGCTCTGACTGCTTGAGCAGAAGTGGGGACTTGGTGACTTGTGTTGCAACTGGAACATCCAGGGGGAGGTTAGACCCGAGGAGGTCAGGACCGTGCTGCCATCTCCTGTCCCCACTGCTAGGCGGCCTTCTGGGCTGGCGCTCTGCGTGGGTAGGCGGGTGGGATGGCTCCCAGCGGCGCCAGGCTGTGAGCCCGGCTGGATGGTTTCAGCAGAGTCCCGGGCCGCGTCTCGCTGGTCTGCTGGGATTGGATGGTGGACTTCTGTGAGCGGTCTGATGAGACTGGTGTGACCACTGCCGGTGCTGGGTGGGAGGGACCTCACCCAGTCTCATGTCGGAGAGCAGGAAGAGGAGGCTCCCAGTGAAAACCAGGCGTCTCTTTCCAGAAGGAGCAACAGACCCTTGACAAGCACACCCTGCAGACGTCTCCCCTGCTTGCTTGAGGCAGAGAGGCCGCCCCCAGTTGAGGGCTGAGCATCTAGGACTGATGTTGCCCAGCCAGGGAGGCCTCAGTTTTCCATCTTCTCTCTGGCTGGTGCCTGCTTCAGCTCTGCCTTCATGTCCTCTTTTTGTCTGTCGTCTCTCTCTCTCTTTCTTCCCCCACCCTCCCTCTCCTCCTCCCTCCCTCTCCCCCTCCCTCCCTCCCCCCCCCATGGACCCTGAGGTCTAAGCTGCCGTGTTCACTTGTTCTGGAACTGCTTTGTTTTCAGCACCTCCCACAGCTACTTCCTGCTTCTCCTGTACTCTTGTATCAAAATAATTGTTCTTAGGTCCTGTTTTTATTCCTCATGAGCTCTGTGAAAAGCCTTGGGTTTGTTGCCACTTTTCTTAGTGGGGAATTGACCTATTGAAAAAGTCTCCTTGGCTTTTAAGGTATTTTCTCCAGAGTGGGATGGTAAAAGAAGGGACACTGAACTTGGAAGGTAGGAGCCCTGGTTTAAATCCTGTGACCTTAGGTAAATCTTAGTTTCTTCGTTTGTAAAGCAGAAACAATCTTGTAAGACTGTTGTGAGATTGGAAATACAGGGCACACGCGGTAAACGCTCCATGTTCATTTCTTGCCTTCCCAAGTGACTGCCGTGTTTGGTCTTGGGTATGGGCGTGATCTGTGCATCTCACTTAGAATCTCATGGGCCATTGAGCTAGAGCAGGCGCCCTCAAACTTCGGCCCTCAGGCCACATTCGGGTGTTTATGCCCGTTTGGTTTTTTTTTACTTCAAAATAAGATATGTGCAGTGTGCATAGGAATTTGTTCATAGTTTTTCTTAAACTATAGTCCAGCCCTCCAACGGTCTGAGGGACACAGTGAACTGGCTCCTTGTTTAAAAAGTGTGAGGACCCCTGAGCTAGAGTGTGGCATGGGAAGGCTGTTTGATTTCACACGTTCGGCCGGGCAGCAGCAGCACTTTAATCCTGTCAGGAGAATCTGGGTGTTCATCATGCTCCTGGCTCTGGTTAAGAAGAGAATTAGATATGATGGATTTTCAAATATCATCATCTCTTCTTATCCCAAACCAAAAAAAAAAAGGCCCTGTTATTCTAGTGTCCTTCAAGTTCTGCTCTGCGGTCATTAGAAATCTGGGAGGTGCTGCCCGGAGGATGGGAAAAGTGAAGCAGACAGCTTTATTTGAGTGCAAGATTAAAACGTGCTGCCACTCGAGAGGTTTCCTTGACCTTCCGGTTTTGACTTTCCCTCCTCACCCCATGAAGAGACGCGGCCATTTTTAGCTTCTGGAAGTCAGCTGTGAGAGAGGCCCCGCACATACGCTGTTGCTGGGGAGATCGTTTCCACAGTGGTCACCGTGGCATCAAAGCCACTCTCTCCCTGTCCTTCCCTGTGTGACAGCTTTCCTGAGTTTAGCCGGCCACATGCCTGGTGGCTCCCAGACCACCCGGAACAACCTAAACCCCCGTCTCTGTTTCTGAATCTTCCCCGATGCCGGAGTGTGTGAAGTGGCAGCCCTCGCGTGCAGTTGCTTTGCTGCTTTTAGCAAACAATGCTCCGGTTCCTTCCTCCTGAGCAAAATCTGAGCACGTGTTTGGAAGCATTTTAGAAAACCTTTGCTACGGTGATTTTACATAAACGATATTGGATAGAAGACGACTTATTTAAAACACTGGTACCATGGGACAGTATTTCTTTTAGGATTTTTTTATAAAAATGAATGTTATTTAATTACACAAAAGATTTCAGACAACTTCTAAAGAAACTTACAGAAAAGAATAATGAAAGAAAAAAATAAAATGTCAGGGTCAGAGAAAATGCAAACTAGGAGTTTATTTTTTTTATTTTTATTTTTTTAGGGGAGTTAATACAGTTGTACAAACTAGGAGTTTAAAAGGAGAAATCGGAAACCGTATATGTATATCATGAGGTCCTACACAGTTGCTGTCATTGATCTGTGAATTTCTTATGGGCTTCCTGGCAACCAGTGTGAAAATGGAAATGGGGTTATTTGGATGACCATTGCTAACGACGGAGTTCCTCAAAAGAAACTTTAAGAGAAATTTCCACACAGGGCTTTAGAGCCCTAATGAAGGATACACTACACAGTCTCAACTATGTCACTGTCAGGTTTTGTAGGACCCCTCTCCAAGGAAGTCAAGGGAATCATCCCAAAATGAGCATAAATTCATTTGGACAGCCTAGACATGCAACTTTCTTAGCAGAGCTGTGCCGTCCAATAGCATAGCCACTAGCCACGTGTGGCTCTTTCGATTTTAATTAATTAGAACAATGAAACGAAAGATTTGGCTTCTCAGTCACATTAGCCACATTGCAGGTGCTGAATTAGCCACCCATGGCCGGCGGCTACTGTCCGGACCGTGTGGGGGCAGAAGGTCTCCACAAGCACCGAAGGGGCTGCTGGGCAGCGCTGCTCTAGAACAATCCCAGAGTGTAGGGCAGCAGGGTGACTTTCGTGTGTGATGAGTCAGGTTTCAGAGATTGGACACTAAATGCCAGGTCCTGCGGGGACAAGGCCCCTCCGGTGCCAGCTCTTCTTGCCTCCCAGCTCACTGGAGGAGAAAGCGTCTGCACGTTGCTGGCGCGCCTTTCATGCCCCTCTGATGTTTCTTCGTAGGGAAAACGGGAAGGCTGGGGTCACTGCCTCTGGCAGGCAACAGGCTCGAGTCTAATCAGGTTGTTTTGTTTCCATTGTACTTGTTTTTACATTTGCCTCCTAGTTGTGGCACAGAATTCTATTTTTTCCATTTACCATGGTGATGCACAGTTCCCTTTTAAAACAAATTTTAAATAAAAAGGAAATGAGTCATCTTAAAGACACTAAGTAAACAATAGTGAAAACAGTAAAAAGTTTAGCAGGCTGCTATACGAATGAGTAATATTTGGGGAACGCTGAAACAAAGGAACAGATAGGCTGTGATTTAAAAAGCCACGAAATAAGAAAGCACCGGCCACCTCTCACCGGCCTGTGTTATGCAATAGTTTATTCAGTCCTTGCAGCAATCCTGTGAGGTAAGAAACTCTCATCACCCACGTTTTGTAGGTGAGGAGACAAAGGCACAGACAAGCGTGTTATGCAGGAACACGCCTTTTCAGCCCCAGAAGCGATTTAAGGTGCTGGGTGTGCAGACTCCACGTCACAGAATAAGGGTGGAACCAAGCTCTTTAGACATCCTGGAGGCAGCTGGGACACTCGCTGTCATTCTAAAGAGAAGGGCCCAGCCCAGCTGAGATCCTGCCTACACGGACGGCCACCTGCATCCCCGAGGCCTGCTCTGGGGCCCTGCAGTGACCGCACGCGTTATCCACCGAGCCCTGCAAGTCCGGGAGCCGGGCGGAGAGGGTTTGGCCTTGGAAAGCTGTCATAGCCGATGGTGACCGAAGTGACTGCTCTGGCTGTAGAAGGAGTTCAAGGACGCTCCCCTGAGACATCTTTTTTGAGCAGCTTCAGAGTCCCAAGTGTCTGACTCGATGGGCCACTCGGAAAATCTACTCCTAAACGCCAGAGAAACTAAAATAATTCACTTGCCACGTGCAGTGACTGGCCTTCACCACTTGGCTTGTGGGAGAGGCCTGGAGTTATATCTGGCACACAGGATCCCAGCAGGAAGTGCTGTGTGTTGACGGGATTAAATGCAAGTTATTGAAACAGGTTTGAACTCCTATGTCCCGAGAGGGGGCTGACCTGTGTTCCATCACTAAAATTAAGACAATGGTGGCACTTGACCACTTTTCAGAACAAAAGTCATGATATCCAGAGATTTCCCAATTTTAAATTTTTCGTCCATGAGTACATTTTTGGCCCTGGCGATGCTTGGCTACCAAGAGACACTACTCAGAAATAACATGATTAAGCAGCATCGAATAAAACGGAAAACAAAATTAAACTCAGTCTACTTCCACGTCTAGCTTAGTTTTTCTCGTTCTCTCTTTCTCTTTTTGTTAACACACAGGTGTGTTTTTGGTTTGATTTTCTGTCACTTCCGTATGACAGAGTTAAAATTTTTGTTAATTAATTTCTACTTTATGTCTTTGCCAGTGTTTGATCTTATTCCTCAGAGACCCTGGTTTCCAAATAAGCGTGAGATTCTCTCTAGTGTTTCCAAAGGTATGTTAGACCTTAAAACAACCCACCTATTTTTTTTCTTCAGCAACTATTACAGCCACTAAATTGGTATAAGGTAATACATTGATATACTTACTTTCTCAGCTTTTAAGTCTTTGCTTTTGAGAAGTACCTTTAATGTAAGTACAGTTGGAAACAGTCTTTCATGTGGGATTAATTTCAGCATTTGCATTTAGCC